CTGCACGCCACCTACCCAGAGATCGAGCCCACAACCCGGGCATGAACTTCAGCTTTGTGTGTAACAGTATTCTGAGGTGGGAGATGGGCATCCTCCTCTTCCACTCAATGCAAGTCTAAAGGAGGTGGGACCTGAGGACAGAGTGGGACGTTAAGGCTTATATGCCATCTTGAACTAAGGAGAAGGGGGAGTTGTACTTTGGGACTACAAAGGGCAGGGGAGCAATTTACATGGAAATGGAAAAGCAAAAGTTTGGTAAATAAATGCTTGCTGGGCTACTTTTAACAATGGGACACAGACAAGACTTTGATCAAAAGAGCCTGGCTAGCCCTGGCCAGTGTGGCTCAGTTGGTTGAGCGCCGTAGTCCCTTGCACCAAATGGTTGATTTCTGGTCAGGGATCATACCCAGGTTTGGATTCAATCTCTGGTCAGGGCATGTGCAGGAGGCAACCGATCGATGATGTTTCTAGCTCTCGCTCTTAAAATCAATAAAAATTAAAAAGGGGGGGGGCCTGGCTAGGTCCCTCTCTATCACACACTAAAGATTAAAAACTATAGTTATCTATGATGATAACTCCCTTCCTAGAGCAGGTCCTCGATCTAAATTCTTTTAGGCAGGAAGGGGTAAGGTCAAAGATTGAGTCTTTTGTTACTTAAAAATAATCAGTGTAAGCCCTGGCTGGTGTGGCTCAGTTGGTTGGAGCATTGTTCCGTGTTCCTAAAGGTCTTGGGGTTCGATTTCCGGTCAGGACACGTACCCAGGTTTGGTTCAACCCCCAGTCAGGGCACATATGGAAGACAACTGATCTGTTTCTCTCTCACATTGATGTTCCCCTCTCTCTAAAATTAATGAAAAACATATCCTCAGGTGAAGATTTTAAAAAATAATCAGCTTAAAAGAGGCATATTTTGGGGTGGGTAACTCTTCCTTCTCCTTAATACCAAACACATTCTAGATTGTAAGGGTGAATCAATGATCATTTCGCACTTAGGTGGAGGGCCTTGTACACTAGGAGTCTTTCTCTTCCTCTTTCAGCAGCGACCCTCTCTTCTCATGTGGGAAACTGTAGTTTGTGAAGCCAGAGAAACTGATTCACATTGAAATAACTGTAAAAGCTCCAGAAGGCTAGACAAACAGGACTAGTAATTTCAGTCTTCCAGTGATTATAGTTATTGTGTTTAGGCAGAAACTCCTCCCTTCCTGCCCTCAACAACTCCTCCCCTCTGCTGCTCCATTACTGTCCTCCCAATTTCTGCAAGGCCAAAGAATATCTTAAAATGGAATTTCCTTCCTTTTAGGAATCAAGTGTAAACATTGACTCTGAAGTCCATAACATGACCTTTTTTCCTGAATAACTCTCAGTCTCAAACAATAATCTCAGCCCTTGCAGCTAGAGGTGGGTGCTGGGAATTTATCCAGGCTGCTGAGTAAAGGAGGTAATATTGCCGCCTACATAATCAGGAGTTGACTAACGGGACTCTACCCCAAGGCCTTGTCTCATGCCTTTCACTCCCACCTACAAAGGAGAATCATAGGATTATAGAATCACAAGAAGTCTTTAAGGATTCTGTAACCTACCTCACCATTATGTAGATGAAGCTGAGGCTCACAGTCCCTTTCATACAGTGCTCAGTCACTATTGCTTTATTTTTCTGACCTAAGTTGTTTAAAATGATCAGTACATTAGAATATGGGGTTACCAATTTAAAAACTGTTTTCTTACCACTCTATCACACTGAGTTATGTATTTCTACTTGGTTTACTATAAAGTCATTAGAGCCATAAATTTAATTTTAAAATCTTTATTGAGATATAATTTACATACCATACAGTTCACCTATTTAAAGTGTACAATTCCATGGCTTTTAGTTTATTCAGAGCCATGTATCCATCACCACAATCAATTTTAGAACATTTTCATTACCCACAAAAGAAATTCCATACCCATTAACAGTCACTCTTATTTTCTCTCATTCCCCTGGCCCTAGGCAACCACTACTCTTTCATATGTGGTCCTTTGTGAGTAGTTTGTTACTTAGCATAATATTTTCAAGGTTCATACATGTTGTAGCATGTACATCATTTCTTATTGTTGTTGAATAATAAATATTCCATTACATGCATAAACTGTATTTTATTTATCTATTCAACAGTTGATGGGTATTTGGCTGAACTTTTATTTTTGTAATGATTTCAGAGAGGGAGAAAGGGGATGGGAGAGAGAGGGAAACATCAATGTGAGAAGCTGATTGGCTACCTCCTATACCGCCCCGACCAGGATCAAACTGCAACTTAGGTATGTGCCCTGACCGGGAATAGTAGCCACAAACTTCTGTGCACAGGGTGACACTCCAAACAACTGAGCCACACCAGCCAGGGCTGAATTTTATTTTAAAACAAATGTGCTCTGCATGACTGGTGTTGCTCAGTGGTTGAGCGTCAACCCATGAACCAAGAGAGCACAGTTCAATTCCTGCCAGGGCACATGCCTGGGTTGCCAGTTCCATCCCCAGTAAGAGGCAGCCCATTGATGATTCTCTCTCATCATTGATGTTTTTATTCCTCTCTCCCTTCCTCTCTCTGAAATCAAAAACATAAAAAGAAGAAACGTGATCTCTGATAGCCAGCAGGAGCTTAAAATCTAGATATAAGTGTATGTCTCATATCTTTCTATATTGAATTTATACTAAAAGAAGCAGAGTTAGTATGAAGATCTATAATAATAAAAGGGTAATATGCTAATTAGGCCGGACATCCTTCTGGGAAGCCGCTGTGGCAGGGCTGAGGCAGAGGCCCCCAGCCGCCACGGCGGGCAGGGGCACGAACCCCGTGCACAAATTTCGTGCATCGGGCCTCTAGTTTTATTATAACTGCATGCCTGAAAATCAGCATTTTCTTTTCTCTAAATTTTCTGATGTGTATGATAACATTATGAAAAGACAAGTAAAGTCTTGCCCTGTTTTCCTGCTCCTCTGACTCCCAGGAAAATAGAGGCTATGTAGATGGCATGGGTGACAACCCTCGGGAAGATAGAAAAAAGACTAAAGATCCAGAGCAAGACTGTTTGTTTCTGGTTTCAAATGGGAGATTTAGAAGAAAAGGGGCATTTGGGGCTCACACCCAGCAATCTGATCAGCCTTACTAAGACCCAGACATAGAAATAATATATGATGTGGGTGAAGGTGAGAAAGGCGGACAGTACAGACCACAAGTTCAGTCCAGTCTGACCTCATAAGGTTTAGTATGTTCGTTTTTGTCCTTCTGTGTTTAGAGATTGGCCCTCGTTTAACCTCCATATGTTTTTGTGGGTCTCCAGAAGAGTCCAGACTGAGAGACTTTGGGGGACTAGGGTGTGCTTGGTAGGAAGAACTTGAATTTGTAAATACCAAGTTGAGGATATTTATGATCCTGGGAGGTGGATGCTTCCCCCACTAAACCCTTGTTTATCCAAGTCCTGCCTCTCCCAGCCCCCGTTGTAATTACAGTCGGACCGGACCGCAGAGCTCCTGAGTCACCTGCTTGGAGAGGAGGGGTTTTGGGAGTGCCTTCCGTTCCATTTGCAGGAACTAAAGAACACCAGGAAGCGACCCTTGACTCAGCCCGCCTGAGGCTTGAGTGTTGTGTCATTCCCCACACGTGACGCTCTCCCAGGCGATGGAGACTCGCGTATCATGGGACTTTTTCACCCCAGTGACTCCCCCCGCTTTTCTTTACCCGCAACCCTCGCACTTCCCCGCCCCGCCCCCACTTGAGACTAGAGGAAGGGAGGGTAGCTGGAGCCAGGAAATGCCACTCTCCCAAGTTGGCCAGGAGAAGCCAAGAAACTCAGTGTTTGGGAAAGTGCCAAGACGTGACGTTACGCTCTGACCCTTCTCCAGAATGCTTTGCCCTTCCTCCGTTCTGGGCTATCCTTGCTCTCATTCCCCATATGGGACCTATTATTGATCTCTCCTGTTCGAGACCCCTTATCACTCAGACCGCGTCCCGCTTAAGGTTGCGTTCCCTCTCCCTCCGACTCCCACTTTCCTGAGCCTGGAATTCTCCACCAGAACTGGTTTGAGTCTCCGATCAGCCTCCTTCCCGATCTCGCTGCGTGACCTTGAGTGAACCACAACTTTTCTGGGCCTATTTTCCTTGCCTGGAAAACGGAGGCGAAACGTGTACCTCGCCACGCAGGTGGTGAGGAGCAAAGGAGAAAGCCTTCCGAGCGTGAGGAGCAACAGGAATGTCAGCTATGCGGACTCTGGAGCGCCAGTGGCTTCAGGACCCCTCCCTTTCCTCGGGGACCGCCCCGCCAACCCCGCCCGCGCGGACACACCGCCCCGCCTCCTCCCGCAGGCCCT